GCCAAAGTCGGGTGCTCAACCAACTGAGCCACCCAGGCTCCCGTGAATGCTTGCTTATCTTTTAGATGTTCTGAGTATGGCATGTTTGTTTAAAATAGTTGAGAGTGTAATAGAAGGAAGAAGCTGCAGGGTAGAAAAACCTAATAGCTTGGTACTTGGGGCATGTGGACTGTAAGTTCCTCCTTAGTATAACTAGCCATCTAGAGCCTTGCCCTGTTCTGAGACTCTGTTCCTGCTGCCCTTACTCTAGCCCAATACTGGGGCTGGAAAAGGGAAAGGAGAAGGATGATAAAGAGGGTGACCTCACCTGGTTACTATTACTCTAGAACACCAACTCATTACCTCACTGGGATCCCCGAGGCATACTACTTCTCCTGCAACATACTGCCTTCGTATGTGACACAGTTTTGCTATTGGTCCTGCCTGTAGCTCTCCTCTTCTGACAGTTTTGAATTGAGGTTTCCATCTTCAGGCTTATACGGATTTCTTTCTTTCAGGGATTTCTCAGACCTTCTGGTCCATCGATTATTTAACTTTTTATTTTTTAATTATTTATGTATTTTTAAAAATGGAAGTACAGTTGCCATGCGGTGTTATGTTAGTCCAGGCATATAGCATAGTGATTCAACACTTCTATGAACATGCACTGCTCACTGCGGTAAGTGTGATTACAATCTATCACCGTACAAAGTTATTATAATAGTCTCGACTACATTCCTTATCCTGTACTTTATATCCCTGTGACTTGCTTATTTTATAACTGGAAGCTTGTACCTCTTAATCTCCTACACCAATTTCACCCATCCCCCACCTCTTCCCCTCCAGCAAACATCAGTTTGTTCTCTGTATTTGTGAGACTGTTCTGTTTGTATACGTGTTTGTTTTGCTTTTTAGAATCCACATATAAGTGAAATCATGTATTACTTGTCTTCCTGTCTGACTTATTTCACTTACAATACTCTTTAGATCCATTCATGTTGTCACAAATGGGAAGATTTCATTTTTTTATGGGTGACTATCATTTCTGTGTATGTTTGTGTGTGCGTATCAAGTCTTCTCTGTCCATTCATCTAGATGGACACGTAAGTTGCTTCCATATCTTGGCTATTATAAATAATACTGCGATAAACATAGGGGTGCATATATCTTTTCAAATTGGCATTTTTGTATTTTGGGGGGTAAAAACCCAGTTGTGCAATTACTAGATTGTAAGGTAGTTCTATTTTTAATTTTTTGAAGAACCTCTATACTGTTTTCCACAGTGGCTGCACCAATTTGCATTACCACCAACAGTGCAAAAGGGTTTCTTTTTCTCTACATCCTCACCAACGCTTGTTGTTTCTTGTGTTTTTGGTTTTAGTCGTTCTGACAGGTATAAGGTGATATCTCATTGTAGTTTTTTTTTTTTAAATGTTTATTTATTTAGTTTAAGATGGTGGGGGGAGCATGAGTTGGGGAGGGGCAGAGAAAGATGGAGAGAGAATCCCAAGCAGGCTCCATGCTGCCAGAGGACAGCCCAACGTGGGACTCAATGTCATGAACCATGAGATCATGACTGGAGCCAAAACCGACTGAGCCACCCAAGCAACCTATCATTGTAGTCTTGATTTGTGTTTCCCTGATGATGAGTGATGTCAAGCATCTTTTCATGTGTCCCTTGGCCATCTGTACATCTTCTTTGGAGAAATGTCTGTTCATGTCTTCTGCCTATTTTTTAATTGGATTATTTGCAGTATGGGTGTTGAGTTGTACAAGTTCTTTCTATTTATTTGGATATCCCCTTACCAGATGTATCATTTGCAAATATCCTCTACCATGCAGGAGGTTGCCTTTTTGTTTTGTTAATTGTTTCCTTTGCTGTGCAGAAACTTATTTGTTCCAATGTAGTCCCAATAACTTATTTTTGCTTTTGTTTTACTTGGCTGAGAAGACATCCAGAAAAAAGTTGCTAGGGCCAATCTCCATGAGGTTATTGTTTATGTTTTCCTTTGGGAGTTTTATGATTTGAGGTCTTACTTTTTTTTATTTAGGTCTTTAATACGTTTTATTTTTGTATTAAGAAAATGTTTAAGAAAGTGATACGGTTTCATTCTTTTGCATGTAGCTATGCAGTTTTCCCATCATTAAGGAGACTGTCTTGGGGCATCTGGTTGGCTCAGTCAGTTAAGCATCTAACTCTGGATTTCAGCACAGGTCATGATCTCACAATTCGTGAGATCAAGCCTCATGTAGGATACTGTGCCGACAGCGTGGAGCTTGCTTGGGATTCTCTCTCCCTCTCTCTGCCCTTTTCCCACCCTCTCTCTCTCTTTCAAAATAAACATTTACAGAAAAAAGAGAGACAGTCTTTTCCTCATTGCATATTCTTGCCTCCTTTGTCATAGATTAACTGACCATATAACCATGACTTTATTTCTGTACTCTCTATCCTGTTCCATTGGTCTATGTATCTGTTTCTGTGCCTGTACACACTGTTTGATTACTAAAACTTTGTGGTATAGCTTGAAGTCTGGAATTGTGATACATCCAGCTTTGCTCTTCTTTCTCAAGATTGCTTCTGCTATTCAGGGTCTTTAGTAGTTCCATACAAATTTGAGGATTATTTGTCCTAATTCTGGGAAAAATGACACCTTGTTTGGGATTGCACTGAATCGCTAGACTGCTTTGAGTAGTATGGGCATTTTAGCAATATTAATTTTTCCAATCCATGAGCATGATATATCCTCCCATTCCTTTATGTTATTTCCAATTTCTTTCATCCATATCTTAAAATCTCCAGAGTACAGGTCTTTTACCTCCTTCATTAAATTTATTCCTAGGTATTTCATTCTATTTGATGCAATTATATTTGTATCATTATATTTTCATTCTATTTGATGCAATTTTTTCCTAGGTATTTCATTCTATTTGATGCAATGGGATTATTTTCTTAATTTCTATTTCTGATACTTTATTAGTCTATACAGACACAACAGATTTCTGTAATTTTATATCCTGCAACATTACTGAATTCATTTATTAATTCTGGTTGTTTTTTGGTGGTGTCTTTAGGGTCTTCTATGTATTGTATCATGTCACCTGCAAAAAGTGACAGTTTTGCTTCTTCCCTACCAATTTGGATGCTTTTTGTTTCTTTTTCTTGTCTGACTGCTGTGGCTAGGACTTCCAGTACTATGTTGAATAAAGTGGTGAGAGTAAACATCTTTGTCTTGTTACTGATCTTAGGGAAAAAGCTTTCACTTTTTCCCCACTGAATATGACGTCAGCTGTGGGTTTGTCATGTTGGTCTATATTATGTTGAGGTGTAATCCGTCTTAACCCACTTTGTTGAGAATTATCATCATAAACAGATGCTGAATTTTATCAAATATTTTTTCTGCATCTATTGAGATGATCGTATGGTTTGTCATCTTCATTTTTTAAATGTGGTGTATCATGTAGATTGATTTGTGGATAATGAACCATCCTTGCATGCCCAGAGTAAATCCCACTTGATCATAGTGAATGACCTTTTTCATGTGCTGTTGAGATTAGTTTGCTAATACTTTGTCAAGGATTTTTACATCTATATTCATCAGAGATACTGGCCCGTAGTTTTCTATTTTTTATAGTATCTTTTTCTGGGTTGGTATCAAGGTAATGCTGGCCTTATAGAAATGAATTTGGAAGTTTTCCTTCCTCTTGTATTTTTCGGAATAGTTTGAGGACAGGGATTAATCCTTCTTTAAATGTTCGGTAGCATTCACTTGTGAATCGATCTAGTTGTGGACTTGTGTTTGTTGGAAGTTTTATACTTACTCATTCAATTTTGTTACTAGTAATTGGTCTAATCAGATTTTCTATTTCTTCCTAATTCAGTCTTATAAGATTGTATGTTTCTAGAAATTTATCCCTTTGTTCTAAGTTGTCCAATTTGTTGGCATATAATTTTTCATAGTAGTCTTTTATATTCCTCCGTATTTCTGTGGTGTCAGTTGCTACTTCTCTTTCATTTCTAGTTTTGAGTCCTATCTTTTTTCTTGATGAGTCTGGCTAAAGGTTTATCAATTTTATGTTTTTAACAGACCAGCTCTTGGTTTTGTTGATCTCTCCTACTTTTTTTTTTTAGTCTCTCATTTATTTCTGTTCTGATGTTTATCATTTTCTCCCTTCTACTAACTTTTTAAAAATAGTTTCTAGCATTTCTAGGAATGGACGTAACAATAGAAAGCTGATGGATATGTTCAGTCTGTCTACTTGAGCTGGAAATTCTATACTCTTTTTTGAAAGTTTCCAGTTTAAGTAAAACACAGCTACAACTTCATAAATTAACTCGCTCCTTACATTCCTTACTCTTTTTCATACTAAAAATATTAAACATCTAAGAGGCAAGGGAGAAAAAAACCCTTCAAGTGACTCATTTTGACATACCTGACTGTGTAGTTTTGCTCTGGGATTTATTAGAAATAGGCGTTTCCAGCAATTTTGCCATTGTAGCAAGTTTGCTAGCAGCATTCATAATCTTTTTCTCAGCCCTGTGGGGAATTCCAAAATATTAAATTAATAATAGTTTAAAGGAAAAAATGAGTTTCCTTAGCCCCAGGATTTCTGTTTTCCTATTAGTTCTGCCAATATTTAGGGTAGTACAGACATAAGCCTCTCTTAACCCCTAATGGCTGATCATGTAGAAATAGTTAATTTTGTGGTTAAGGAAAATGTTTAGAAAATGACAACATGATGTCTTGGTAGGCTCAGGACACGCTATTTGTTTAGACTGAACTTACCCTTCCTGTTTTCCATTATCCTGCAAAATCTGTTGGAGGCAAGTCAAGTAATACTTGCGCATCTTCCGGGCAGTTTCTTGACGTTCTCGCAATACCTCTGCTTTTACCATTTCCGCAGCTCTTTCTTTACTATCTTGAATATAACGAAGCATATCACCTAGAGGGGAGGTGGGGTAGGGAGTTGGTGTGAGACAGGAATCCCCACAAAAATGCAAGTTTACTATCAGTTTTTCACAAATAGGGGAGGCAAACTTCAGATCAGTTTTCTGGGAGATGAAGTGACTAGAGGTATAAACATTATACTTTTCCACAATCATTAAAATGGAATGTTTCAGATCACTATTTTGGGAGACTCAGAGGAGAAATAATCTACAAGTCCTTTTAGAATGAAGATAGCCACATATGGTAAGGAAATAGCATATTCCCTAGGAAAACTTTGTCATATTCTAAAACACTAAGGCAAGAAAATAAATATTAGATACAGAAACTTAAGCATTTCAATTATGTATAACGTGTCTGATTAAGAGAGGAAAAATAAATACACAAAAAGGGTGAGGAATAAAGGAAGGAAGAACCAGACACAGAAGGACAGAAGGAGGCAATATGAACCAGAGAGACTCAGATTCCTATCACTTATGCTCTGAAAAATCCATTTTTCAATATTATTCAATTCTTTAGGCAGCAGTTAAAAGTATCTAAGTAAATATAATGCTACAATCCGTGAGAGATATGTATAAAATGCCAGGGAGAAGGATGAGACTTATATCACCTTCTGGAATTTACATTTAAAAATAATTCACTGCTTGCAAGTTTTCTTTTTAATATTGGATTGAGACTACCATTACTTAAGGTTAACATTTTTTTTTTTTTAATTAAATCTAGGGCTACATCCTACCTCTAGAATATATCACCATTCCTATTATATTAAAGATTCAATTCATAGAGGAATTTCCCTCAATATCAGTAAGCTCTTCCTGAAGATTAGACGCTCTATGCAAAAAATACTAACTGGAAGGCTCTTTCTCATTATTTGAAGTGGGACAAATTAAAATGGAATACATGTCAACACAAAACCTCCAACCAATGTCTAAAATATTAAACAAATACATATACATACAAGTTAGCACATGAGTATGAAAAAAAAACACTTAAAATTTCACTTCCCAACTGATACAATTGTTAATAAAAAGTTGCTTTGTTTGTATTTGTAGTAATATGGCCTCTGTTGGCACTGGCAACAACTGAGAAGCAAATTCTCTTTATCGACACTAAGTGGGCTTTTCCAAACATCCAAACATGATGCTGATGATCTACCAATTACATCTGGAACTTAAGACCTTTCCCATTCATTCTGTTAAAAATAAATGCAATTTGGGGGCATCTGGGTGGCTCAGTCAGTTGAGCATCTGACTTTGGCTCAGGTCATGATCTCACAGTTTGTGGGTTTGAGCCCCGCATCGGGCTCTGTGCTGACAGCTCAGAGCCTGGAGCCTACTTTGGAGTCTGTGTCTCCTGCTCTCTCTGCCCCTCTCCCACTCGTGCTCTGTCTCTCAAAAATGAATAAACATTAAAAAACATTTTTAAAAAATAAACGCAATTTTAAGAGGTAAACATACAGTTCTCCTGTATCAACACTGGTTACTGTTCTGGGACATACATGGAATCTATGCAATATTGTTTGTAATTAAAAACCAGGAGATGTTCTACCGAGAAAACATAAACGAGAGAAATGCTCTGCCAGGTATGCTGCATCACCTCTTACTGCAAAGAACTTGATGAACAAATTTATATGTATTATTTAATCCACTATAAAAATAATGACAAACAACAGAACAATGCGTAACTAGTATGGTCTTTACAAAGACAAATATAATATGATCTCACTCATACGTGGAATTTGAGAAACTCAACAGATGAACATAGGGGAAGGGAAGAAAAAATAAGATAAAAACAGAGAGGGAGGCCAAACATTGAGACTCTTAAATACAGAGAACAAACTGAAGGTTGCTGGAGGGGGGAGTAGATGGGGTGGGGGTGGGTTAAATGGGTGATGGGCATTAAGGAAGGCACTTTTTGGGATGAGCACTGGGTGTCTGTTTTAAGAGATGAATCACTGGGTTCTACTCCTGAAGCCAAGACTACACTATATGTTAACTAGCTTGAATATAAATTAAAATAATAATAACACTGGCATTGAACAATATAAAATTAAAAAAAAAAGTTTACAGTAGAAAGTAATACTTGCTAATTTAAAACTCACAT